ACAGGTATTTTGGGGAATCCCAACAAAACAGCAAGGAAGACAAAGGTCGCACCATGGGAGAGGCTTCTGGAAGGCTTCAGTTTAATGAAAATCTAGTGCCCTCAGATGTGTCCATAGAAATAACTCATCATCAGTATGTAAGCTTGGTACCTGTACTTCCTTTTTGCTGGTTGCTTCCAGCAATACAGGGATATGATAGCCAATGTGCAGTGTTTAAAACCTTGTAAGCCTCCTTCAGGGACATATGCTTAATATTGACAAACAACAACAACAACAACACAAAATCCCACCAAACCCTGCATTTTGGGGCCCTGTTCTTAAATGCTATTATATCTGGCAAGTGTCCTTTTTCAGGAACACGAACACTGACACTTGGAAAGATCTTTTAGGGATTATATAAACTGAATTAATGAATTTCTAGAAAGAGAGCAGCCAACACTGTTAACATCAACCTAAATCTGTACCTTGTAAAACCTGAAGACCTGTATGACTTTAATTTTAGCAAACAAAAACATTTCAGAAGTGATTGTACAAAAGTGAAAACTGTATTTCTCTAGTATACAGTGATAGACAACTCAGAAATTCTTTAGAAAGCTTTATCTAAGTCCATTCAATTAGAGAAAGCTTTTTCCAAAGAGAAAAAACTTCAGAGTGGACTATTAGCTACAGTACTTACAATTCTCAGAATTGTAGCTTATCAATTTGTTGTATACCTTTCAGGTATAGAAAGACAGTAAAATATTCCAGGCTGAAAAAAAATCTCATCTAGTTGAAAGCCAAATTTATGCAATTTATAACATGAAAATTGTTATAACCATACACTGATTTTTTTTTTAAATAATGAGTTGTAATCTTGCAGCTGTGTAAGAGCCTGATGTAGTTTACTACTCTGTTACAAAATATCTTGTCCTATATTTGAAATTCCATAAAACTTGTGCTTAGCTACAAGTCTTTATGCAATGTCAATACTCTTAGCAAGGGATGAGGAAGTGCTACTTGAGCTTGTCTCAGGTCTGTTCTCTTTGCACTTGTCATGTGGCTCAAAGAAATCAAACCTGATTACCATCACCTTTCTTTATTATTTACTCCATTAGAAAGCAGTGTGCTGGACAGCGTATATCAAAGAAATTCTGCAATGGTAAATTGTTAATAAAAGCTACCAAGCTTCCCATTCAATGGCACCAATTTGATTACACCCATGGGATTATGGAATATCCCTCTTGCAAACTGCTGAGGGGAGGGAGCACTTCATCTCTTCCTGCAGCAAGAAGGAAACATGAAGTTGCCACCCAAATCAATGGCTGCAGGAGCTGCTGAGATGCTCAGAGTGCTCCATACCAAAATGGAAGGGAAGAACACTCAGGCAGGCTGAATGTGATTGGAAGAGAAACCAGCAGGGAGACAAGCCATTGAGTGAATAAACCAGAGAGCACAGAGACAGCTCCATTTCAGAGGCCTGGCAGTGGGTTTGTTTCTGTTGCATTCAAGGAACTGACTGTAAATTTTCTTCCACCTAGAGCTGGGTTGCACTAGTACACGTGGCTGCCTACAAACACCATTCCCCTCCTAATGCATATAAGCCTACAAGGCTACAAACACTGACTAATTGTTTGGGCTAAAGGGGCAAAGATACAAATGAGCTATTGCTTGTTACACTGTTAGAAAATATTGATTACACAGACACAGATGGCAACCACTAGTCATCCTGGTATTCTCAAATCTCTACACTGAACCTATCTCATATACATTCATTATTTTACAAGTTCAAATTAAGACCATTTTCCCTATTGACAAACATGGGTTAAAAACATAATAAACAGAGCGGATTTGTGTTGGTATTATTAATGAATTGGCAACAACTGTCTCTGCATTGTTCATCTCTCAACAGCTGTTTATATTTTATTTTAACTCTGTAAAAACATTGCTTTGTAATCCCTTGATCTGTACAATAATTTCCTTTTGTTCCAAGCTGTTAAAGGTGTCTTTGAACTACTCAGGAAAAAGATTTAAAAAAGGAGACTACTCATCTGTTCCTTCAAGACAAGACCACTTTAATCATAAAAAATGAACATCATAAAAAATGAACACAGAAATCAAAGAAAAAAAACAAAGGTGGGTGAACTCTGTACTGCAATAGGATAAAAGTCAGGACAGTTGTGGAAAACTATCAGTCATTATTGCTTCAAATTGCTCTTGATTTTTGCAAAGGAACAGACCAAGTCAGCTGCACCTAATCTTTCTTCAGAGTTATCTGGTGCATTTATTCACTGCACACTAAGAATTCTGCTCACCACTTGTCACAGCCAGGAACAAGACTGTTAAGCTCACCCCTTGTTGATAAGTAGGCGTTGTAACTTATGGATATCCTGTTGCGTTGGCCTCCTGGAGTCTTGAATTTTCGTATTGTTCAAGCCACAGTGATTTCAGGGCAGTGCTCTTTATGAAATACAATGTCTACTTGAAAATTTGTCAATATGGGTTCTAAAAATAGCTGAGGTATGAGCAAGTACAAATAACATTCTATTTGCTTCTCTGTAACAACTGTGTAACCAGGAAAAAAAAAATCTTTAAAAAGTGGAATGAGAAGGCAGTGCCCTCAGCTTGTGATTTATTGTTATCACTGAGGAGATTAGAGCAAACGTCCACTTTAGAAACAATGTGCATAGGCAAATGATGTATTCATTACACTACTGGAAGAGCAAAAAACTACGACCAATGTGAAAAGTATTGTCAGGAAAAAGTACTGTCAGGAAAATATAACCTCTTAGCCAGAGAGTTCAAAACAGAATAGCTCAAATGAAGCAAAATAAATTACCAAGATTTACACCAGCATTATTCTGCTTTCTAAAGTTACAAAATATCATAAACTTATGTTATGTGGCAAATGTATGGCATTAGGGGAGCTGCTTAAAGGTGACTATTAAAACACCTACTTAGACTGTACTATATTAATGCACGTATTTAATTTTAACATAACTTCATGGATTTAATGGCCAATTCTTTGTCCAAACAGAAGAGTAATACTGCATAAGCCCCACACTATTTTGCACCCAGAAAATTCCAAGAATATCAAATTATACAAAAAAATCCACCAACCAGAGCCCTTTTATAGATGGATACCCTCCATATTACCCTGCTCTGTGAAGTGTATGACATTCAAGAGAAATCAGGACAGATAGAATAAACTCAAAGGGACAAAAGAAAGCCAAATAGCATTGTTGAGGGAAAGAGAGAAAGAAATATGAGAGGCTCTGATCTAAACAAAAACAGAGAAAAAAAACTTGGAAAGAATTTCAGAGAAGTATGTTTAATTGCTTACAGCCCCTGGAGAGGTAATTTATGTGCCAACAAGTTATGGAGGCTTTATGTGCCTATTAGTCTGCTATTCAATTAAAAAATGTGTACTTACCATGGCAACCTCTGTGTCTCATGATACGCATGCTAATTCTAAGATATCTCTATAGAGCACCTTCTTAAAGAAACATATACCACAACACCAGCCACAGTCTCTAGATTTCCAGTCACTAAAAGGCAGTAAAAGGAATAGCCCATATAAGAATTATGAATTATAGGCTTGGGAGTGGGGCAGGTAATCTTACTGTACTGCTAGCAGCTCTATATGGGAACCCAGCAGTGTAATTCACACACACAGTGCAGACAACATTGCTGCACCTTAGGACAGCTCACCGTACCTGAAGATGGCGTTGCCAGAATCCCCCCCAGTGTTCCCCTTCCTGCTCACTGAGATAATACTCCTAGTCTTTGAGAGGATGCTGCTTTTCCTCAGGTATACATTTTATTTGTAATGTTACACCAGAGCTGGCTCACTAACTCCCAAGGTGCTGCTTCCATGGAAGCATTTTAAGCCTTCCAGCATGCCGCCCTTTACTTAAAGCCTGCCAGGATGCCCACCTTACCTTTGGTTCAGCCCTTGCTGCCTGGAAATTCCCTTTCTCAGCAGCCTGTGCCAGGCTGCCAGCTCTAGGAGGCATCGTCCTTCATCATCCTTATTTGAGTTTCCCATAACAACAGATATTGGTAAAGCTGATTTTCCACTCACTGGTATGCTCCTCTCCAGATAAGGAATATCAGTTACCAACCAGTGCCAAAATTCTAGATCAGCCTTATGTAATTAATGGATCAAAGCACTTGTCACACACAGCCTCTGAAGAAAGAACCTCCTTCAGCAAATATACACCACCCCACCCCTAACTTCTAAGCATTAAGTAGAAGTCAGACATGATCATTCTGAAGACAAGACACTGAAGTGATAACCTACATTTCTAATGGCTTTCTTGTCATTACTTTCTCCTCATTATCATCTTCCTTCTCTTTAATGACCACTGAAAATGTTTCAGATTACTCTTCCTGTGGACATGAAACAAGGTATTCCACTTGCCTGCAGCTCTTTTAGTGTTAAAGAATGTAGAATATGAAAAAAAGTGAAAATATCACTTTGCAGAAAGTTTTGGATTTGCTGGCGATTAAGTGTTAAGCACGTTTTAAAGATCCTTGGCTTTTTTCCCTGCTTTCCCTGATGACAAGGAACCTAGTCATATTATTTGCTAACCATCTTTAAACAGTCAATGTTTATACTAAGGTGTTAGAGTTCCCAGAATGCTTTCTCCTTATAAGCACTTCAGAGGCACATCTTATGAAAAAATGAGCATTGTCACGAAATCAAATCTTTTACAGTAATAAATAAGTGTCACATAAGCCATTTTTTTTTTTTTTTTTTTTTTTTTTTCTAAAAGATTTGCAGCACACCCAGTCTCATTCCTAATGGTGGGAAAATACATCTTAGGGTTAAGGAAGCACAAGCTGGCACTGACCTATAAGGAACAGTTACTTCAAACACAACACCCAATGAATAACTGCATTTGATACTTTCACCTGACACCAACAGAGCAAGATGAAACATCAGCAAGCTACAATCTCAAATGTAACTCCTTCGTCTAGACTTTGTTTTTCATTGTGAGATGGTGTAAAGCCTTACTCACATTTATGAAGCAGGTAAGCATCAGCCATTAATTTCTCACAACAGCAACGAAAGCACACCCATGTTACAAGGCTTATTCAAAGCTTAGGAGCGGGGAAACAATCCCACTTAAATCTTCTCTGTTCTGAAAGCTCCCCCAAATGTGTGTGAACAGCAGGCTGCACTGTTTCTCTGGTAGGTAATGAGCCTTAGTGGCCACTTGACAGTGCATCACTAGCATATTAGCATCAGCTGAGAGAAATCTTGCACTCAAACTAGGGTGAAGATAAGCTCACCTGATATTAAAAAGTTTTCTCCCCTCTCCTTCCTCCATCCCCCATGCACTTTTTCCCCACATCAGACTAGTTTGCATAAAATATGGAATGGAAATTTGAAGTCTGGGTTGAATTCACAGTAAAAGCTGTTGATAGCTTCCTTCCTACAAGATCTAACTCTCCACAGCTCTTGTACTGATGCTGTAAGGGCATCTTTGGAGGAAAGAAAAACATTTTCCTAGGAGATGAGAAATACATGATTCAGTAAATAATGTAAACAGTGCATTTGGAAGTGTAATCTATGTCAAGCTTAGGAAAGTTTTGACGATATTTGGTATGAATGTGCTCTACTGAAGGTATATTGCAACTCTTCCCACTCAAGGGAGGAACAGATCGCAGCTGCTTTTTCACATGATGGATGTGAGTGATTTTCATGGGCAAGCTACATTGTCCTTTTTGTATTACATCTCTACGATCCTGGGAGGGGAAAGTAGCTAAAAGCATCAATTTTGATACAAATCTTTTATAGTCTTTAAATTGGGCACTGCCACTTTAATAAGCCACACCTGGTTAAGATTCGTGTTCTGCTGAATTCCTCCCACTGTAATGAGCCCTGAACATCAGGCTGAGACTGTGATCAAGACAATACAATTAATCACCAGACCGTGCACAATTTTAGTAACATGAAAATTGCACGCAGTTAGATTTTCTAAGTAAAACTAATATTTCATGCAGTGGAAAGGGTGAAGTTTCAGTGCATAACAAAAAAGAATTTCAGAGGTTTAAAAAAACCTGGCAGTCAGCAGGGCCACATGAAGGTGAATGCATAAATCAAATAACTATGCCATCTGTTATACAAAACTTAACGGGAATTAAGTGGCCCATATTTTCTAAAAATATCTTACTTCACAGTGTGCAGAAGCACTGAATATCTAAGGAGGAATACTGGAATTGGACTTTAATTAGGAAACTCTGAGTTTTGAATACAACATGAGCTTAGTCAAACTATCAGCAAGATAAGCTTATTAGGAGAAAAATAGGAAAGAATATTAGTTCAGTAAAAAAAAATAGATCTTTTTGGTGGGAGCAAGAAGGGGGATTAAAAACATACATGGACCCCATTTTCAGTGTTTTTTCAGCTGTAACATGAGGTCTCATAGACACAAATAATGACAGGCCACAGCCAGCTTCTATTCTGGGGGACTTTCTATTCTGATGTGACCTGAAACATGGTGGTCACCTAAATGACTTGAAAATTCACAAGCAAAATAGGTTTCCTGCATATTTGAAAGTATATTTCAATGCAGCAGTTGTTTCTATGCAAATGCAGCATTCACTAGAAAAACCATTCAAAGTGCAGATACACAATGCAATTGTCACCTCTTTCTAGGCTCACCTCCAACGCCAGCTGGTGGGAAGGAACAACTGCTGGAGAACACTGGTGGCTCCATTCTTCCCTCTGCCCTTTAAAAGAAAAGCATGGTAATTTGTTTTATGTACTACTGGGTTATAAAATCTTCAGGGATCTTTTCTTTCTGCCCCCAAGAATTTTCACATCTCTAATCAATGCATCTGAATGTCCCATCTGAACACAGACAATAAAGGTAGAAAAAAATGAAAAACTTCATATAGGAAGGGAATAACAAAGGCAGACTTCCTTAGAGAGGAGAGATATATATATATATACAGGTCTGAGAATTGATATAAAATCCTAAACTGAATAGGTAAAATGAGATATCTAAGTGTTTTAGGAAAATTATTTTCAAACTAAATAATGGAGAAGAAAGGAGAGAGAGAGGAAAAGAAGGAGGGACACAGAAAAAGGCAGAGGGACACTCAGAAAGATAATAAGCAAAATGTATTTTAAAAAAAGGGGCAAAAAGTCTGATTTTGAGGGAATAAAAAATTAAGGTTTGTTTGAAAATAAAAATAAAATAAATCTTTCCTAGTTAACCTATAGAATGTCCCATTTGCCTTTTCCAGTCTTCACTTTCTTCTGCTACCCTTCCTCAACCTTTATCTTCTGTACCGATTTTCTAAATTCAAATTAGAGTATTTGGGATTTTAGATGGAGCAGCAGATTTTTAATTGCCATTCCCAAGGAACAGTTTCAAGATATCAACAATAACCTCACAGTGTGACAGTGACAGGGAGTGACCACCAGTGATGGAAGGGAGGAAGCGATTCTTCAGACATTAGAAAATGGTGTTGGAAAGTGCTAAAAATCATGTTGCCATGGAAAACAAAAGATAAGTGAAGTGGTTTTGGATGCAGTTCACTGGCGTAAAGAGTAATCAAGAGATATTTTGAACATGCACACTTCTAGAAATGACTAAAAAATAGTTTTTTTGTGTGTTTCTGGAAATGGGAAATAGCAGGAGTAGAGATGTGCTGTAATTGAAATGACTCCCATTACATAAAGCATGTGTGGGCAGGGAGAAAAGGATTGTATTGTTCTTTAGTGTGCATGGAGAAAGCCAGTATTCTCATGTAAAGTCTGATACAATGCATGGAATAATACATTTAAAAAGTAATATAAGAAAACTAACATATACAGAACAGTAATCGCAAGAATAAACATTTTAGTTTTTTGGTTCTTTTTTGGAGGAAGAATTTGGTTTTCTTGGAGCAACTGTTTGTGGTTTAATGCCTTGCTCCGTTAGTACTAACACACATTTAAATGCTCAAAAATTGTTCATAATTAATTAATTAATTAGTTATGATTAAAGCTAGTTTCAGTCATGTATTTCCCTGGTTATCAATGGCTGGAAGATCAACAGAACTAATGCAGTCATTCATTATCTAAAATCTACACCTAGCCCTTGAGTTCATCTACACAGGGGCTGTGTGAGGGTGTTCAGAGACATGCCTGCCAGCCCTGAAGAAACAAGCTCAGGTTCAGGAACTGTCTAGCTGAGAAACGCAACCCCAGGGCTCAGCATCCCCCCCCACCCTGTGACCCACAAGTCCACAAGTGGGAAGCTGCTCGCCTCACCCTACATACTTCCAGTTGTTACAGCAGGGTGAAAAGGGGTCTGCTCAGACCAGGGAGGCACGTCACCATGAGCTGTTTCACCAGGAACTGCATCGCTGAGGCCCTTCGAGCACCCGTTGTGGTACGCGGGGCTGGCAGGTTGCCCAGGTGGGTGCATGGGAGCGGGGCTGATGCACGGCGGCTGCTGTGCCATCAGGACATCAGCACTTCTTGCACATACGAGCTCAGTCATCCTCAGTGCAGACATAATGTCTGGCTTCTTGGAAGGGGACGTTGCCAAGGGCTACACTCAGGGAGTAAAACTAAACAGTCTTTCAAGAGCACAATATATTGGTGGGAATACAGCAATGCTCCCAGCGCTAAGGCGTGTGCACACACATACACGCATGCACACACTGTTTATTTAAAGGTTTTATTGTTAGCATTATAATTAGGCCCCCAAATATACTGTGTATATATATCAAATTAAGCTCCAGTAACCAGGGATTTTCTAGCTATATACACTATGGTTGAATTCCTGTAATTCTCATATTAAAATATTTTTCCATAACAATCTGTATTTAAATAAATAGCTTGTTATAGTGCTCGTGCTCACTGAATGTTATTACTAGCTCTTTCCAAGAGAGAGCAGTAGCGAATTGTACTATCATTAACCTGGATAGTCTTACTCAAACACACTGAATTTACATTTTCGACTCTATAACCTTTCAACCTATTGACCATGAAAAATGCTCCAACATAACATGACACATATAAATGTTTAAAGTCCAAAGGGTAATTATCTATATTCATAGTTAAAACTGTGCCTTGATTTCACAATAGAAACCATATGTTCACTCAAAACACTTTCAATAGGCTAAATGACACCCAGATTAACCCTGAGTTAGTTCACTGGTTAAAATAATAGCAGCATCTTCTTCTAATTCAGTAGTTCATTTATCATTTTTGATCAAGGCACTGAATGTGAACTTTTAATATTTGAAAGCTTAACTTGAAAAATAAACTGTATGCAAGATTGGTAGACATTCTACCGATTCTTAGATTTTGTCTTTAACATCATGCAATGTGTTTGATAACAGCTCAAGATATGTTATTTAGCTCAACGTAGAATTTTGTGCTGCATTGCATTTAATATATGAATTCTCTCTCCCAGAAGAAAAGGGAAATGACTTGCTAAAGTGTTTTTTTTTTTTCTTCTTTTATTTTTTTTTCCCCACTGAACAGTGCTCAACAGAATACAATTTAAAGTAAATCTTGACCAGTTTCTTTATGAAAAATGCCTTTGGCCCCAAACACTTCCAGTAAGTATGAAAAGTATAGAGCACAAGCACTGCAACACTCATGTAAGGTCTCTGCAGAAGCAGTAAGAAAAGTATAGAAGTGAAAGGGGAAGTAATTTAGGTTTTAGAATACACATTTAGATACACGTTTCCTTACCTTATTTCTTGTAAGATAGGAAAAGATTATTTTGAACCTTTGGAATCACTGCTGCAGAAAATAACAAACAGAAGACAAAATTGTATTTTACAGGAGTAATGACAAGTCAAAGGAAAGAGACATACATAAAAAAACTAGCAAACAGGCAAATGACTTTTCAGTGAGTGTCAACTCTGTGCACATTAAACTGGTTAAAAGCTTCTTCTCTCCTTGCTTGTCATGTCATTGTTCCCTGTCAAGTGGCAGAGAACACCTCCAGCTAGTACATGGTATACAGGATGCTTCATCAAAAAAAGGTATTCTCTGTCTTTGAATTTGAAGTGACGTTTTCCCTATGTGTATCATAAAAGCCCTGTAGAAATGGCAATGGACTACAGTGCAAAAGGAGATGGGAATTTTGCAGAAAGCTCACTGGAATAGTGGTCTCATTTCCAAAGGCATTACATGGGAACAGGTG